AGCCACATGGCAGCCGAAAACCGCATGCCCTAGCTTGTCGTGCATTCTTTCCAAAAATCGGGACTTTTGAAAAATGCCGTGGGATGCGGGAAAAATTGTTAAAAATTGGGACTGTCCTGCCAAAAGTGGGATGTCTGGTCACCTTATCTTAGAAACCAAGGGGGCAGTTCTACCCTGTCCTATAGAGTCACTGTAAGTGGGCATGGACAATGGCAGGGAGTGAGAAAGGTTGTAGAATAGTTACAGCTTGATGAAACTATGCATTTTAGAATGCTCAATGCAGAAAAATAAAATCTCAATTCAATTCAAAGAGGCCCAAACCTTTGAATAATCCTGGATAATAAAGTATTAACTCGGTGTATCAGCATCTTGCTGATGTAGGAAAAAGGTATATAGAACTTTTGAGGGTTACTAAAAAGCAAGAATAACCTGAAATCTGGTAATAGTACATAGTTCCAACTCCCTGAAATTTCAAATACCTAGAGGTAGGAAAGCATTTTTCTTATTGCCTTTGGCTTGTGGTATAACTGTATTACTTACATATCATTCTAGTCTCTCCTGATCTTGATTTGTTCCATCCTTTTCTGTCTTGCTTCCCTAGTTTTCAGGTTCCCCTGCCAGAAAATCCAACATTTTTCTAGCTGTGTGACCTTGGGCACGTTATTAATCTTACTTCAGTTTCTCCTCTGAAAAAACGGTTAGAACAGGAGTTTATTCAGGTTAGTTATGAGATTATGCTTAAAGAGCGACTGGTATGACAATAACTGTTAATTATATTTAAATTAAGATCATTCCACTAAAAAAATATTTTAAACTCAACAATGTTCTAATCAGAAGTCTTGACCCTAACTAGTTTGATAATTCATATGATTCCCATCCCTCTACCTGCATTATCTAACAAAGGAGTCACACCTTAATCCCTAGCCTCCTGCTCCACAAAGAATTTTGGGTTTAAATACTTAAAAGATTTAGTTCAAGTGAAATATACAATATCCACCACTGCCCACGATCCCAGCATCATCCCCTTTTCAGGGACAAACAAACGGAGGCCCATGGCCAGTCAATAGTAGAAAACAGAACAAGGCTACAATTGAAGATCCTAACACCCTTCCTTAATAGTCTGTGGATAAAAACATTAACTCGGAAATATGTTTTAAAAACAAAAACAAGCCATGTGCAAAAATCTCTGCTTCACAGATGTAACTGCATTTTCAAAGTCACAGTAACCTTTTCAGTGGTAGACGGGCACTGCTCTTAAATTCAATTTTCCTTTTGCTGCACGGAAGGCTTTCGCCCTGTTTTTTCACCCCCTCGTGTTCTTCATACTATGCAGTTTTTGGTTAGAACTGGGTCCTACTCTCCACGACACCGGGGTCTAGACTGCGGTGGTCAGAGTGTGCACCATCCACCAGCGTTCCTTCCCTCAATTCACATCCTGGAAGGGGGCCCGGCGGCCTGGTGGGTTATGCGTTGGGCTGCAAACCTCAAGGTGCACAGTGCAAACTAGTTGCTCTGCGCGAGAAGCCGCTTCCCGCTCCTGTAAAAGTGTACAGCCGGGAACCCTCGGGAGAAGTTCGACCCTGCTTTACAGGGTCGCTGAGTCAGACTGGACATGACTCGATGGCAGGGAGTTGCGTGTGCTTGTGAAAGAGCTCTGGTGACATGATGGGTTAAGCCTTGGGTTGCTAAGCCGCTCGGGGTGAAAAACGAGGCGGTCTGCTCCCCTACAGGGTCTGACTCCACTAGACAGCGGTGGGTGGAAGGTGGCGCGGGGCGGACCAGCCGGAAGGGAGAAAAAAGAAATAAACCAAACTCACTGCCACCGACTCATGTCGACCTAGTAGAACCGCCCCTGTGAGTTTCCGAGGCTGTAATTGCTGGCCAGAGTAGACAGCTCAGTCTTTCTCCCGCGGAGCGGCTAGGGATTTCGAACGGCTGGCCTGGCTGACGGCAGCCCAAAGAATAGCCACCAGCCCAGGGAGCGGCGCCAAGGTCAAGTCGCTGGGGGCGCGGGAGCGGAGTCAGCACGGCCAGGTACCTGGGAGCCGCGGCGTCGCCCGAGGCCGCCCAGGCCGCGGCCGCCCGCAGCGCTGGTCGGGAGCCGAGGCCCCGAGACACGGCCACGTCCCAAAGCGAGAAAGCGCCACAGTCGCGCCACCCGCTCCATGACCTACGCTCACGAGCCCGTCACTCTCCGGGTGCCTACCAAGCAGCGCAAAGCGAAAGGCGTGCGCAGACTTCCTGACCGCGCCACTTCCGGTCCCTGGCTTCCGGTCCTCGGGGCTAGCGGCCAGGTCACACCCCCTCGAGGGGCGGGGCGCTGCGGACCTTATGCGCCTGCGCCACCGTGACTGCCTGGGCTAGCCCTTGAAGTTGCTGTTCAACTTTCTGAGGACCTTTCATGGGAATCTTTCGAAGGAGGATAGCAGCAAAGTTCGTTTCCAAATATACACATGTCAGCACTTATATATATGCTGGGTTCTCCTAATGTTCATGTCTGTGCTGACCGGTTTGTTGTGCGCTGTTGAGCAGATTCCCACGCAGATCATGTAGGACGGAGTTGGGCCATGCATGGCGAATATATGGTCCCGAAACTCCAAACTCCCGGCCATCGAGTTAATGCTGACTCCAAATGACCCTATGGGTTTCCAAGACTCGAACTCTGCAAGAGGAGCAAACCTCGCCTTGCTTCCAAAAGAGCGGCTGATGGTTTCGAACTGCAGAGCTTACGGTTAGCAGCCAACACCTAACCACTAGGTCACCTGGGCTCCTAGGACCCTCGCCTATCTGGTTACCAAGGCTGAAAGGTGACGAGCACATCAAGTCTTTTATTGCCCTGAGAGAAAGAGGTTGGAACTGCCTAGCTTATGGCTAATGGCAGAGCACTTTAACCATTGTGCCACCAGGACGCCCTGAGCACCCGATTTACTATACATGTAATCAACTACTCACTTATTCTTTTTTGAGCGCTCTAATGAAGATGTGGTTGCACGTGTATGTCAGCGTCTCTGGCCCTGTTAGATTACCAAGCACACTGTCCTATGCATTGATAAATTGCCACTGTTCACTTTTATGGCATATCAACTACTGTTCATAGTTCATGAGACAGTTTCAAGTCATCCATCAAATACTTTTAGAAAGTTTGCCATCAACTAGGCATTGGTTGTTACATATTCAATGCCTATCTTACTATGTGCAACTTAAAAACTCAAACCCACTGTTATCAAGTGGATTCTGACTCACAGCAACCCTTTGTAGGGTTTCCAACACTAAATCTTTATGCAAGCAGACTGCGTCATCTTTCCCTGCAGTGCAGATGGTGGCATTGAACCAACCACTTTGCAGTTAACAACCCAGTGCCTGCTCCTTGATGCCACCAGGGCCAGTTATATGCAACACGGTAGAGAATGTAAGTGAAAGTGATGACGTATCTGTGCACTGAGTATCTTAGAAGCAGAGAGATAGTGAACCAGAGAGGGGATGAAGTGAAGTTTGAACTGAGACTTTAAAAGGAATAGATTTTGAAGGAAAACTGCCAAAGATCAGGTTTCTATTTTAGGCAGATCACCCTGAGGGCAGTGTTGAGGACAGGAAGGAGGTGGGTGGGGAGGAGGTGACAAATTGGTTTGTTGTGCCAATACCTCAGAGCAGAAATGATGAGGCCACAAGGAAAGCAGGTGTGGAGAAAAGGAGATAAGGCAACAGTCAATGAGAAAGTAGAATTAACCCCACTACTGTTCAGTCAGGGTTGACCAGATGACAGTGAGTGTGGTTTATTGTTACCCCTAGTCTCTGGGCAGTGCAAAAAGTTAAGTGGCTACCACCAACTGAAAGGCTGGCAGTTGAAAGCCACCTAGAGGCACCTCAGAATACAGACCAGGCAACCTGGTTTTGAGATGTCATAGCTTAGAAAACCCTATGTTCTAATCGACACACGTGGGGTCACCATAAGTCAGAATGACTCAACTCACTGAGAACTGAACTTGACAGGGTTGTCACTCTACATGCGGTGTGGGAAACAGAAGGCGTTCTCTTAAGTTGTCTCCCCAAAATATATGCCAGATTTAGCTTGAGAATGACTGTTCCCTAGGTGGTCAGTGAAAGTAGGTCAGAAGTTATTCTCCTTAACATCAGCCATCAAGAGTGGATTGGGAGTCATTCTCA